ATATAGACATACATTCTCCACTCAGCACAGACTTAGTTGGTGCTGATATCCGAAAGATTGCAAAGTATTATTTACATGATCACTCTAACCATTGCCCAGCAATGTAAGTAATTGTGTCTAGGGTGAAGAAATGATGATGCTGCTTTCTGTAGTATTTCTCAAATCTTCTGCTACCTTCAGAAGACTAACCTCCAGCTAAACTCCGAAAAAGCACCTAGCAACGTAATTACTTTGCTTTCTATCAAGAATGGATTCTGAAGACTGTTCTAACCCCAGCTGAAACTAGAACCTCCGTACCTCATGGACCATACTATTGCATTAACTTGACAGTTAAACTACTTTCAGAGATAGTAGGAACTGCAGATGCTGGAGAATCTGAGATAACAAGGTGTAGAGCTGGATGAACACAGCAGGCCGAGCAGCATCGCTGACGTTTCGGGCCTAGACCCTTCTTCAGAAATGGGGGAGGGGAAGGGGGTTCTGAAATAAATAGAGAGAGAGGGGGAGGCGGATGGAAGATGGATAAAGGAGCAGATAGGTGGAGAGGAGACAGACAGGTCAAAGAGGCAGGGATGGAGCCAGTAAAGGTGAGTGGAGGTCGGGAGTTAGGGAGGGGATAGATCAGTCCAGGGAGGACGGACAGGTCAAGGGGGCGGGATGAGGTTAGTAGATAGGAGCTGGGGCTGGGGCTTGAGGTGGGAGGAGGGGATAGGTGGGAGGAAGGACGGGTAAGGGAGGCGGGGACAAGCTGGGCTGGTTTTGGGATGCGGTAGGGGGAGGGGAGATTTTGAAGCTTGTGAAGTCCACATTGATACCATTGGGCTGCAGGGTTCCCAAACGCAATATGAGGTGCTGTTCCTGCAACCTTTGGGTGCATTGTTGTGGCACTGCAGGGGGCCCAGGATGGACATGTCGTCTGAGGAATGGGAGGGGGACTTGAAATGGTTCGCGACTGGGAATAATAATTGGCAATGGACTGTTTTACTTTTATACATTCTCACAGACATTAGACTCAATACCATTTGTTGGTTTAATGAAAGATGCAGAAAGACAGAAAAGAATTACTAGTTAAATACCAAGAAATGCAGCCTGTTTAATATTTTTCTGCAAAGAAGAGGTTGCAATCGAAAGTACTGCTTTATGAAGGGTTTTAAAATAAAAAGCCAATATGGACCAAGGACCAAACTTCCTGGTTTTTAACAGGGGGAAGAAAAGCAGGTTCCACCCTACCTTGCTTCCAAAAATACGTCCAATGGGAGGAAAGGCTTTGCTCACACACCAAGTGGTTTGGATCTGCAGCACACTTCGGGGAGTGCAGCTGAGACAGATTCAATCAAGGCACTAGATTTTTTTTAAATAGCAATAACGTGCAGAGTTATAGGAAAAAGGTGAGAGAACAGTACAAAGTCATGATACTCTGACAGCCTGTGTAAACATGATGGGCCAGAAGCCTTCTTTCTGTACCCTAACAATTCTGTAGTTAGCTTTCTTGTTTAAGAAAACTAACGATTTTGAAATTTAGTTACCAATAAAGCAAAGGTAAAAAGATAGACCTATTAGCAATTTATGGGATCTAGACAACACATCTCCGAGAATCAGAGAGTAACATGACAGAAGAGGCCATCTGGCCCATGTGTCTGTGCTGTTTCATAGGGGAAACTAAGTTATTTAACTAGTCTTACTCCTGACTCTTTCTTTGTAACCTTTTCAATAACCATGTCTAGCTAGTAACTCATTTCTGTTTTTTTTAAAAGCTTAAGTGAAAGCCTTGAAAAAGGAGCTCCACACTTTCCATTAAACAAGTAGAAATCCCTAAAACAAGAGCAAAATGTAATGGAATTCAGTAAATAATATCTGGAATTAAGGGTCTAATGATGACCATGAATCCATTGTCGATTGTCAGAAAAACCCATCTGGTTCACTAACATCCTTTAGGGAAGGAAACTGCCATCCTTACTTGGTCTGGCCTACATGTGGTTCCAGACTCTCAGCAACATGGTTGACTCTGAACTGCCCTCTGGGCAATTAGGGATGGGCAATAAATGCTGCCTAGCCCGCAACGCCCTAATCCCATGAATGAACAAAAAAATAATTTCTGAATAAAATTTCTCTCACATCTTTGATAATAGCTTGGATTTCTGTGTGTACAGTATGGGGAACACTATTGTTTGCTTTCCCTGCACATTTTCGTAGATTGTACAATACTGTTAAATTGTTATGGGGATAAGAAGGCACTGTGGTAATTTTATAAATTATAGGTATATTTTGTAGACTTTTTGGGCAAATTAAGGTTATTTTCTTCCCATAGTCAGTAAATCTTCAGCTTCATCTGGTAATATGCACATTGAGTGGTTGTGGACATACAGGGAAGTATCTCATTTCTCATTGAAATCCTTGTATTGATTTTGATGCTGTACCTCTCATCCAACATCTGCTCTTCTGGACCATGAGTAAACCCTGTAATGTGTAGTGTGGTGGGAACAAGCGCCTTTTATGCAGAAGGGGTGTAAAAAGCTGTTACATATGGGTAACCTTAACTGATTGGATTAGCATTGGCTAGTTTTTTTTTGGCTTTTGTCTCATAGGAATCTAATTGTGTTGTAGTAAGAGAATGTGACAAGGCACTTTTGTTAGGTAAGCAAGAAAGCATCAGTGGCGTTGTGCTCAGACAGAACCTGATAACATTTTACATTTCCTGTAAAATCGGGTCTATTATAAGTGCTTAAAATGTGAAACCCATTTGGTTCTCAACTTCAGTTTGTGGCTAAAAATGGAAATGAATGTGATTTAACCTTATGTAAAATAAATTGAAGCTTGATTTGCTTAAATTACCCTTAATACTTTAGTAACGTATTCCTGACATGAGAGAGATTTAGTTTATGTTTCAGATACTGGGAATAACTTGTTATCCCTGTCTAGATTAAATTTGTCATTTTGATCACCAGTTTCTTGGATTTGCCAAGAAACAACTTGTACATATTTCATCAATTGGTACTTCTGGGAGTTTCAAGGCATGAAGTTTTTTTTGCTAGTTCCTTCCCTGTCTCTTTATCTCTATATTTGGGTTATAGTTTCACAGCCGGCATCTTGCCCTAAGTCTCCATTGTTCACGTGTAAGCTTTCACAGTGAATGTCAGTAAGCTGTTGTACTACTGAGGCATCACACAAGTTCTCTCTTTATTGTTTGGACATGTGTTTCCAGCAGTGGTACTGCATGGTGCTGAGGAATAAAAACCTTAGTTCCTTTCTTTGACCAACCCAGGAGAGCTGGGGCCAATTGTGATACCGTGGATTATCATTTTATCAACCAAACACCAATCTTTTGGTCAGTGGGGTGTGGCAACTTGCTGAATAGACTGAGCCATTGGGGAAGCTAACTCTGAGACTGCTGAAACTTTGTTTTTGGTCGCATCGAATTTCATGCAGTGCAGATGGTCTCCTGGTAATTGAATGTGAGGTGGGATAGGCTTTTTCATTTCCAGTGGTAAACAGTGTGCATTGTTCACTAAGAAGCATGATTGATCTCTAGACATTTATTAGACCCCACCCCTCCCCCGTGGGCTGGCTGATTATTAATTGATTGCAATCTGTATTTTTACCCATTGATTGGGTTTTGAGTTTCTGTCATCTTTAAAGATTTCTATTGATCTACAAACATGTCTTTGTTTAAGACATGCAAACTTGGATTTAATCCGTTTTTACACATCCAAGAGGTACGGATTTCCAGAGGTGTGAAATATTTATGAGCAGTAATGTTTTTCTGATTGTTAGTGACACTTTTGTGTGGGTTGTGTGGTGAGGCTCGGAATGATCACTTATCCTGAGGGAAGTTTTGACATCTGCAAATGTGCAATCGTGAAAGAGTTTGGCGTTCCTTTCAGATCCTGGAGTGTGAGAAATGACTCTCCTCACCGGGTTCCTTTCAATTACTGCTGACAAAAACATCTGTGAGATGGGGACAGTTTACATTGAAAAAGTCAACTTCACATCAATAGAGCTCATTCTATTAATCAAATGAGCACTATTGTGCAGAATTCAGAAAACATTAGTTAAAATTTTTAGTTGCATATTTTCTTGCATTTAATTAGTTTAAAAATGACATTCCTGAACTGTATCTATAGGAGTAATGTTCTACAAAGTAACCACGTTTATTTATACATAAGTATGGTTATGCCAATGCTTTCATTGATCTTCCTAGCTTGAAAGTAGATTCAGGGCCGGTGTTTGCATGTTACTTAAAGAATTTCACAGGTTGAAAATGTAGCCCAATTTTGATACACTGTCTGTATATAAATGCATACTTTGAGAAATAATAACAAATTTAAGCTATCGTTTTTATAAAGGGAGCAAATGCAGCTGGTACAAATAGAAAGTGGTTTGGAATTTCCACTTAACAAACATGAATTCAAGTGGAAATGCCAGAATATTTCCACTTAATGTTTAATATTTCATGTAATGTTTTAATGGGACACCAGAGCCTTTGGCACCCTGTAAATTTGACTAGATATTTTGCGAAAGATTTCCCCTAAAATGTCCCCTGAACTATCGAAAGTGTATCCAATAGATCCACGTTACCTTTCTGCTCTTTCCTGTTGAAAACAATTCACTAATTTGTGATGACCAGTGTGTATAAACAGGTTTATAGATGGTTGGATTTCCTAACCATCTATATACGTAGCTTAAAAGTTGCAGCGAGAAATGGCAGTTTGTTCTATTTAGAAAAATTAAGTTGTGGAATTTGCCTCTATATAATGAAAGAAAAGTTGATGAAGGCTGTTGGTTTGGTCAATTCTGGAAGTTAATGTTTGGTCATCATTTCATTCTGATCATTATTGACTGCAAGATGTTGATACTATTCAGTACTCATTTTGTAAAATTGTAGGACATGGTTGAAGTTTATATTGAATTCTTAGTAATTCATCATTTTGGAGTTCTCCCCCATGAAGAAGCAAGCAACTTTACACATGTCTAACCATTAACAATCTCCTTTGAATTCTCAGGTATGTCTCCATTTGAAGTTCAGCCAGCCCATACAGTGGTCAATGAAGGTGAAGTAGCCAGGTTTATCTGCAAAATACATGCAAATCCTCCACCAATCATAACCTGGGAATTCAACCGTACAGCACTGCCGCTTGCTACTGACAGGTAATATACCTATGAAAAGCGTGTAGCTTTACAAAATCATATGCAAAGAGTGATTGGAACATAATGCTGTCACCAAATATGTTGTATTTCAATTTTTTTTTGCACAAAATGTTAAAATGCTTTGGCTTTGAATTTATGTTTGTGATAACAGAAAAACGGTCAGCGTTTGCTGACATTACTAGGCAAAACCGACAAGGTGAAAGTTTAGGAATTGCTGTCCATGATGCCGTACACCTTCACTGGGTGCAGTGTTTCAGTCTTGCAGCTGCAGAATCCGTGAATTGAAATGAGTTTCAATTTTCGAAGTATTATTCTTGTTGTTAAAAATCATTGAAAATATTGAGCCTTGTTGAATGAGGTACAATTGTATTTTTAACTGGAAAGGGTGCAAAAAAGATTTACAAGGATGTTACCAAGAATGGAGTGCTTGATTTATAAGGAGAGGCTGGATTAGCTGGGACTTTTTTCCCTGGAGTATAGGAGTTTGAGGGGTGACCTTTTATAGGGGTTTATAAAATCGTCAGGGGCACAGACAAGGTGAATAGCCAATTTCTTTTCCCCAGAGTAGGAGAGTCCAAAACTAGAGGGCATTGGTTTATGGTGAGAGGGGATAGATTTAAAAGTGACCTGAGGAGCAACTTTTTCATGCAGAGGGTGGTGCCTCTATGAAATGAACTGCCAGAGGAAGTGGTAGAGGCCAGTTCAGTTACAACGTTTCAAAGACATTTGGACAGGTACATGAATAGGAAAGCTATGGAGGAAGAGATAGTAGGAACTCCAGATGCTGGAGAATCTGAGATAACAAGGTGTAGAGCTGGATGAACACAGCAGGCCAAGCAGCATCACAGGATCAGGAAGGCTGACGTTTCGGGCCTAGACCCTTCATCAGAAGCTATGGAGGAATATGGGCCAAACGCAGGCAAATGGAACAATCTCAGTTTGGAAGACTGGATTAGCATGGACAAGATAGGCTGAAGGCTCTCTTTCCTTGCTGTATGAAGCTATAACAATTTGCTAAGTCATAATTGTCAAAACTCCAGGATATTTCCAATGTCTTGGATAAGGAAATGTAAGGAAGCATCATCAGATGCATCATCTCTTTGCACTATCTTTGCAGGAGGGTGCAAATCAGAGCTAATACTAGAGGGATTCAGAGGAACACAGAAATGGGAGAACTAAATAGTACTATAGGAGAAAATTGTCACTAGCAGGTGGGTTCAGCCTAAGAGGGAAAGTAATAAAGTCTAAAATAGGTTTATGGTGCACATAACTGAATATGCAAAATGTAACAAATAAGATTTGAGATGCAGGAGGCTGTGTGGAAATATGATGGAATGGGCATTCAAACTTCAAGAAAGACCAGGGAAGAGTTTGGCAATAATTGTTTGAGGAGACATGAGTTCGAGAGAGAGAGAAAAAGAGAGTGTTTTAGGCCCTGCCTGGGCTCCACCCATCTGAACAAGTCCCACACCCTGACAACTGACCCCAAAGCAAGAATCTAAAGTAATGTTCCAACAAGGAAGAAGCCATTGGTGGACCTGATTCTTAGGAATGGTATAAACCATGTGGATCAGGTGCCACTAGGGGAATGTTTAGGGTGACAGTGAATATTGTATTGTTAAATTTCTATTTTTTTATAGAAAAAGACAAGGAACACTCTAGACCATGAATAATTAAGTGACAGAAAGTAAACTTCAGTTGGGGGTGATAATGGATCTGGTGCAGATAATTTGGAGTAAATTGAAGATTAGAAGGCAAACAGTAGCTGAACAATGGGCTGTCTTTAAAGAAGAGTGACTATTATGGTGCAGTGGTAGTGTCCCTACTGTTGGGCCAGGAGGTCTGGGTTCAAGTCCCACCTGTTCCCAGAAATATGTAATAACATCTCTGAACAGTTTGATTAGGAAAAAGAGATTTCAAACGCAGTCAAGATACTTTTCTACTTCATGGGAATATACAAGGCAAGCAAATCCAGAGCTCCCCCAAAAAGAGAGATTAGGATCAACTAGAAAGTGGGAAGTAAAACAGATGTTGGGTGGATAATGCAATTGAGAACCAAGCTGAATATACAAATTTCAGAGGAATTGAAAAAGCAAATATTAGAAGCAAAAGGTGAAAGAGAGGAGACTGGCAGCTAGTATTAAAATAATTCCAAATTCTATAGGCATAAAAATTGTGCAAAGGTGGTAAAAGAAGTGAGGCTGATTTAGAGACTAAATATGAGACTTCTGCACAAAGACGGGGACATGGGTGAGGCGCCACATGAATACTTTGGATTTTTTTTTAACTAAGGCAGCTTGGGTCATGGTGGAAGAGAAGACATTTGAAAGATTTAAAATTTGAGTTGACAAGGCATTGGGATCAGATGAGGTGTATCCAAGGATCTCAGAAGGGAGTGAGTGGAAATTATGGAGGGACTGACCATAATGTTTCAAACTTCCTTTTAAACTTGGAGTGGTACCAGAGGAGTGGAAAATTGCAAATGTTAAATCTTATTCAAAAGAAATGTCTAACGATGAGCCCAGCAACTACAGCCTAGTCAGTTTAACTTTGAGGAAGTTTTTATGAGATGATAATTTGGGATAGTTAATAGTCATGTGAGCAAATGCAGTTTAATTGAGGGAAGTTGACTGTGTCTTGTTGAGCACAAATCATGTTCAATTTGTTTGGGGTATTTTTTGAATTAAATGTTGAGGATACTACTATTGTGTGTTGCACATGGACTCCAAAAGCATTTGATAAAGCGCCAGACAAGAGTTGTGAGAAAAGTTAGAGTTCATGTAATAAAAAGAACATAAACAGCGTGGTTACAAAATTCACTGAGTGTTAGGAAACAGAAGTAGTTAGTAGAAGTCTCCCAGAATGGAAAAAGATATGTAATGGAGTTCCCCAGACATTGCCCTGGTGCTCCTCTTGATGTAAATTAATGGCCTAGAACTTGATTAACAGCACAGTTTCAACTCATATGGATGATGTGAAACTTGCAAGTATTGCGAACCATCAGAAGATGGGGTAGAACTTCAAAAAGGGCAATCTGTTGTCACTGTTGCCTACAATATTTTTTGCTAGAAATGCACACAGTTCAAATGCTTAATAAGAGTGTTTAAAAGTGGTATCATTTTTCAGAATAACTGCCCTGCCAACTGGGGTTCTTCAAATCTACGGTGTTGAAGCACGGCATGCTGGACAGTACCGTTGTGTCGCAACCAATGTTGCGAATAGGCGAAGGAGCATGGAAGCCATTTTAACTGTTATTCCAGGTACACAATGAGCTGTTTCTCCTACTGAACAATGTCCAGTAAATGATTCACTTAGGCTTTATGTTCAACTTCATAGCTTAAGATGTGCATAACCATCACATTTGATTTAAATTTTGTGCATACATACTATATGGCACGGAAATGATGTAAGAAATGAGAATGAATGTTTCACTTAAAGTGAGAATGTGAAAAGTGCAGGGTGATTGAACTAATCAGACAATTTTTAATTCCCTCTTGCTTTAGATGTGCATATGTTACTGTTCCTTTTTATAGGTAATGGTTCTAAAGTGGTTTAAAGTTTAAGCATCAAACTATCTAGAATGGTAGTGACCATTCCTCTGTGTCAGAAGGCTTGAATTCAAATCCCTCCTGTTCCAGAGGTGTTTCATAAAATACCTGAACAGATTCTTTGTTTAAAAAAAACTCCAGAAAGGTAGTGTCCCCCTCTCTGGGCCAGAAGTCCAGGTTCATGCCCAGATTGCTGCAGAGATGTATTATAAACATGACAGAGCAAGTTGGATTAAAAGTTGGGTGGTTTGGTGAAATCACTCTGCCCTATCTGCAAATCAACAGTGGTTGATAACCAGAAGATGTCCATACTGGTAGCAGTGATATCTAAAAATTTGATCGTATTCAGTCGTTTTATCAAGATACTTAGTTATGACTATGAAGAACTTGAATGAATTACATCATTAAAATGGTGCTGGTTTCATCTCCTGGCTAGGATCAAGAAACGATCAGGAATCTTCACACGTTGTCCTTTTAATTAATGTGACAAATTTTCCAAGTCATGGTCAAATTACCATCAAGGCTGTCCTAATTAGATTCAAAATTAAATTGAAGCTTGAAATGTTGCATGCAGTTAACTATGAATTTCTTCTAGTTATGAACTAGAAATATATCAGCTTCCTTGCCAAATTTAGTTGATGCTTTCGTTATGCTAGTTTATTTTCAAGTGAGCTTCCATATTTATTCTATTCACATGATGCCATTTTATCAATTCTCATGCAATGAAATTAGTTTCATTTTTAAAAAGAATTTCTGCTTTTATTTCCTATCCAATTATCCTAGAGGCTGTTTCCATTGGAACAGTAGCTTTCCCAAACACATTGTGAATATGACATTATTCTTATCAGAGGGTTAGGGAGGTAGTTCCAAATTCTCTTAAAAAGCTGTGGGATTCCTTCACTAAATGACAACCTCAATTTCAATATATTAATTATTGTAGGAATATAGGATGTGGGAGCAAGAGAAGGTCATTTGGCCCTTCAAAAAGATTATACCTAATTCTAGTTATCTTTTCAGCATTTATCAGGGAACTTTGTTTTCTAATTTTCATTGATCTGCAAGGTGGTGCTATTTAAAACAAAATACCTCAATTAGTACACATAATTGCAACAACTGATATGTTTAAGTGAAATTTTTCTTTAATCCAAAATGAATATGTGCATCCAGTCATGGTATGTTTAAAACCTAGCTGAGCCACTTCTTTATTACTTTCAGAGATAGTAGGAACTGCAGATGCTAGAAAATCTGAGATAACAAGGTGTAGAGCTGGATGAACACAGCAGGCCAAGCAGCATCATAGGAGCAGGAAGGCTGATGTTTCGGGCCTAGAAGAAGGGACAGGCCCGAAACGTCAGCATTTTTGCTCCTATGATGCTGCTTGGCCTG